TATATGAGAGCTTGCTTTTACCAAGGGCATGATGGCTTGGCATATCACTTCAGAGTCCAAGTTGGGATGATCGTGGTTAACCCCTCCAGCACAACATGTGTGAGGATCGTTGTATACTGTTAGTTCCCATATGTTGTTTTTCCTTTTCCTCTTCCTCTTCGATACGCGAACAATCTAATTGCATCCATTTTCGCGTAAGGCACAATAGCATACATATTTTTCTGTCGTGGAGCGGTCGACTCTCGATTGAACAGAAACACGGATATTGTAATTTTTTATAGCCATCATTGCTTCTTCTTTGCTTGAAAACTCCATGCCTAAAAATAACTCACCTTTATTTATTGATGAATAGTATCCATTGTTACCGAGATGAGGCATATCCACAAATTCTAGCCCGTACATTGCACCATAATCAACTTCATACATGTGTGCTGGAGGGTCAGTTTGTGCCAAATTTAATGGAACTTCATCTACATTTTCAACATCATCGGAGTTGAATTGCAGTGATGGGTGAATGAATAGTCTAGTCTCAACACCATCCTTATCAGGCTCACGAAGCGGTTCTTCTAGTGGAGATGATGGTTCCTCCATGCTCTCCACATTTAGGTCGAAGAACCTACTACTTGCACGTCTTCCCCTTGAGCTAGAAGGCATATCGACATTGAGATCGAAAAAGCTCGCAATGGAATGCCTACCCCTGGAGCTTGAAGCTATCGTGTCAAATGGAAACTACACAGATTGTTGCGTCGATGACATCTCCATATTAAGGTCAAAGAAATTTGCAGATAAATGTCTTCCCCTTGAACTGGACGCGATGTTGCCATATGAATTGTTCGTAGACCCACATCGGTACATATTGTAATGAGTTATGGATGAATGTTTCCCCATTGAAGTTGATATGACTGCACCATGATGTGGATTTCCCATTATGGCGTTAAAATCATTACACACATTACTGTAGTCGGGCTGTCAACTTGATCAACTTGTTCAGCCAGCCCATAGTGGGAGCTTAATGACTGACCCCGAACAACATGCACTTGAACAAACTTTGTATAAATCTCAATATCGTCGTCTGAATAATTACTTTGAGAATTAGCCATCATTTCAATATTATCATTGTTCGATAGTTCGAACATTGTATAGGTTAATGGCAACAATGATGTTGGAAATCTGTACTGCAACGACGACATTCTTCTACTACTTCCAACATGAACCTTCCTCGAAATCTTCGTTATCAGCTCCTCAAGAGTTATGTTTCTCTTGAATGATATTTTACCACGCTCATTTGATACGAAAACAATGCCGGTTTCATATTCTCGAATTTCTCCATCATAATAAACAATAGTTGAAAGTCACGTCATTCTTAGAGTTTAAAAGTGAGACAATATTATATCTGTAAAAAAACAACTGAAACAAACCTGATTAAATAAATAATATATGAACGAAAATATAACACAATAAATTTTTTACACATAAACGTAAATAATTTAAATAATATAATTTTATATTATTACATGCACCACAAAAATATTTCGACGTATGCTCTCACTTTTCCCTTGAACTGGCACAGAAATTAATTGAAAACAATTACTATAATATTTTTTCAAATAATCACAATAAACAATAAGTATAATAAAAAAATATTATAACAAAGTTACCTTATAACGAAATATTGAACGAACTTCTGAATTAAATATAAGAGGATTGTCGGGTGTTATTTACTGGTTGAAAGGATTGTTGTATTAATTTCTCGGTTGAGAGGGAATTGTGAGAGAGTTTACGGGGAGAGGGTTATTTATAGCAGAGAGATGATGCTTTAAAGCCGAGAGGTCCGAGTAAATAATGCAAGGCGCGGTCCCTGCATTGTGCCTTGCATTATGCATGTATGATAATTGAGCATGTGATCATTGAAAAGCGCGGCCCCTGGCCCGCGCTATAGCCCTACGTATCGTAAGGCGCTCCCCAGGGGCCGCGCTTTAGACGCGTGTGTCCATGTCAGCGTAAAGCGCGCTGCAGGGGGCGCGTCTTACCCCATATGGCGCCATATCAGCGTAAAGCGCGTTGCAGGGGGCGAGCCTTACTGCAAAGGGTGTTATATCGGGAAAAATAGTCTGAAGGATGCCTGACATAGAATATTATATGGTATAAGTGATATTTCGGGAAAAACGCCCTTCTAGCCGCCAATTACATATTATTATTTTAATAAAAAACATACATTATTATAAAAATAAAAAACGAGTTGATAACAACGAGTTATTATTATTATTATTAGATGAAGAGGAAATTGTTGAGTTGTTTGATCTAGGATTTGGTACTTCTAAGAATTATAAAGCTAATAATAATAATAATTAGTTTTATTGAATAAATATAATATAATAATATTACCAGAAAAAATTACAAAACTCATAATAGATTAATCACATTAATCGAATATTTCTCCTAAAACTAATAAGGATGCATAAATTACAATTAAAAAGTAAAACAAGATCATACAAAAAATATTAAAAACTCACTCAAACAGCATAAAAAATAACCGTCAACACTAAAAAATAAATATTATCAATACTAACATAAATGTACATATTACAATGATGACATATTAATAAACTAACTTTTATCTCGATGGGTTCGTAATTTATATTTAGTGGTTATAATAAATACTTTTTTTAAACAAAGATATGATTATTTCATTCTATTTTTCATTCATTTATGGATATTTTTAATAAGAATATTGGTATCTATAAAAATACCAAATCTATGAAATAAAAGAGTTAAATCAAATATTTGAATTATGACATTATATAAATGGAGGAAATTAAGTCGAGAGAATCGTCTCATAATGAATCTTTATTATATATGATTCAGATTAATTGAATCAAAATATTCAAAATTTATATTAGTTAGAACTTTATTTTAGCAAAACTTCTCTTAGCACAAGGACAAACTTTAATCTAGGGATGGTCATGGGTCGGGTCAGGTTTTAACACACCCGAACATGATTCGAAAATTTAATAATACCCACATCGACCTAACTCAGGTTTAGGAGGATCTCACCCGATCCAAAACTTGGTCGATTTTTGAAGTAAAATTTTGCATCCGATTAAACTAAGACGAGTCATGTCATATAAGATTTTTCACTATAAATCTGAATTTGACCCGATTCGAATATAATATAATTTCTTTTATAAAAAACTCAACTCGGCATAATTCTAATCAGAATTTTATAAATTGAATCAAAATCTATTGAATTTATATTAAATACCCATCCAAAACCGGCCTTCAATACAATGGAAGGAGTCATGCCCCATCCTTAAAACTTATTGGTACAATGATATATTTTTAGTCCTATTCAATTTAAACCTTGGTCTCAATTTCTTAATTGACTAAGTATTTTAATCCATTTTGATATTTAATTCTAATTTCGGTTGACTTACTAAGTCTACTCTTGACTGTGGTCATTTATGGTCACTGTATTATATTAACATAAAATAATAGGCCTAATACCCCAAATAAACTTCATTTTTATTGTACTTTATTACCTGATTGCTGACTTTTCTGCCATTTTACTAGAGCTGGGTATATGGGTTAACGTCCGCGGGTTATCCGTTTAACCTGCGGCTCGTGTTAGTTTCGGATTTAAAAAATTAAAGCTCGTTTAAATTGCGGGTTTTTTAGCTCAGACCGTTAAACCCGCGGGTTTAATAGGTATAACCGCGGGTAACCCGTGAAGCCCGCAATAACCCGTTTAATTTAAAATTTATAAAATTTTAGAGAAAATAAACTTAAAGAATTTTATAGAAAAATAAAATAAATTACCTATAAAAATGATGTTACTTATAACCATTGTAGTTCTTAAATTTATTAGGGTTGTCATAATTCTACCGCTGTTTGATTTTTTTTTTCATTTACAATGTATCAAATTATTCTTCATTTTAAAAAATAAAAATTAAAAGATTTTTATAGTATTTTAGTCTTATAAAATTTACATCATTATCACTTTGGTATTTAAAGATTTTTTATTTAATTTTGACCTTTATTTTTTTTCTTCATGAAGTATGTTATCCATTTCGTTCTTTAATTATAAAAAATCACGTGATATTATAATAATATATCTCATGACACATAATATTTGGATTAAAAATAAGAAAGAAAAGTAAAAGAAAATTTGAAAACATACGTTTCAAATTTTAAAGACTTTTACAAAATAAATATATTTTAACAAATGAATGACTTATATTTTATCAATTTTAATATAATTGTATCTTTCAAATTTACTCTTATACTGTAAGTATTTTATTTTATATTTTCATATTATGTTTTAGTCATTCTATAAAGTATTCATAAAATACAATTATTAGGACCACTTGACAATTTTCTTGTTAGATTTGTATAATGTTTGACTTTGTTGAATTTTTATGTTTGAATTTCTGCTTGTGGACACTTCTGTGTCTTCATATCATAACCTTGAATAATCGTGTTTTATAAAAGTATAATGTGGTTATTGTTTTATTTGTTTTTCAATTTGGTGATATAAGTGTACATTGTTTTTTTAATTTGAGTTTAAGTAATTATATCATTATATATATATTAATGATTAAAAAATTTAAAAAATATTATTTTATAATCATTTCCGGCTATTTAAAATAAAATTTAAATATTATTTATTATTTTGACGGTGCTACATTCATTTTTAAGTTGCTGGATCACTTTTAAAGGTGTAGCAAGGTAGAATATTATTTTTTATTGCATTTAAAACATTTAAAATTATTGTTATTTAACGGGCCGTAGGTAAGCCCGTTTAGCCCGCAGGTTAAATGGACGGGACGCGGGCCTTAAAATTCAAAACTGTTTATGAATGCGGACTTTTTAAACCACTCCGTTTAAGGCCGCGCCATCAAAACCTGCGGACTAAACGGGCGGGTAGCCCGTGTATCCAGCTCTACATTTTACCTATAAAATGGGGATTCTGTGATGGCAAAAACAGTGTGAGAGATAAGAGTTGTTTGAATACTTAATAAATTAACTTCATCTTCTCTAAGATATCCAAAAACGCCATGGATTCACTGCAAAATGGCTCATCAAATCACGAAGAAGCCGACGTCTTACAAGCCATGCATTTGGCTACCATTTCAGCGCTCCCTTTCACTTTGAAAGCCGCCGTCGATCTCGGCTTGTTGGAGATCATATCCAAAGCCGACACTCCTTCCGGCATGCTGTCGGCAGCCGAGATAGTGTCTCGGCTTTCCACCAATAACCCTGACGCCACTGCCATCGTCGATCGGATTCTCAGACTCTTGGCGACTCACTCCATCTTAACATGCGATCAAATCACCGGAGAAGACGGGCAGACCCAAAGATCATACGGCCTCGCATCGGTCGGCAAATACTTCCTCCAAAACGAAGAAATCTCCTTCGCTCCATTGCAACATGTCTTCCTCGAAAAATACATCATCGAATGCTGGTAACTAAATATTCTTTATTAATTTATGGTATAAAATTTAGTCTTTTCTTCACTATATCAGTTTGTTTATTTGTTGTTTGTTCTTTTCGTAGGAAATTCTTGAAAGAGGTGACAATGGAGGGAGGGTTATCGTGTATGAAAGCATTCGGGAAGCACATGTTCGAGCTGCTGGCGACCGATGATGATATGTCGAAATCGTTCAATCAAGCCATGTCGGTTTACACCAACCTGATAATGAACCGAGTTCTGGAGAATTACAAAGGGTTTGAAGGTGTAAGCCAAGTGGCTGATGTGGGAGGTGGAGTTGGTACAAATCTTAAGCTCATTGTTTCAAAGTACCCACAAATTAAGGGTATTAATTTTGACCTCCCCCAAGTTATTAAAGATGCAGTCCCCTGCCCAGGTAATATTCTACATACTTTATATATATATATATATATATATATATATATATATCATGTGTTATGCCACCTGATATAGTGACGTAGTATGTGTCATATCATTTATTAAACACATAGGAATATCACATCTGCAACATATCTTAACCGCTAGTCAACTAACGGTTTCATTCAACATTAATTATTTAGACCAAAATTAAAACGTTAGATGGTTAAAATGCTCTTAAAAAAAAGTCAAAGTAACTATTTAGATAAACACTAAATACTAGTTTTATCATTATACCTATTGTGATATGATTTCAGCAATGAACATCATAATTTTATATCATCTCTTCGTCAACCTTTTTAGGAGTGGAGCACATAGCAGGAGATATGTTTACGAAAATTCCTAAAGCCGAAGTTATTTTCATGAAGGTTAGTAATATATATATATATATATATATATATATATGAACTTTACACTCTAACATTATATATTGATTATTAAGGAAGGTTAATGTATGATTGTGTTTGTACTTTTTTCAGTCTATGCTTCATGATTGGGGCGATGATCGATGCTTGAAGTTATTGAAAGTATGTTATGATGCATTGCCAGAGAATGGTAAGATTGTATCGGTTGAATCTATAGTATCAGACGTACCAGAGACAGATATTATAACAAAGACTATCTTCCAGCGAGAGATGGCCTTGTCTCAAATTCTTCCTGGTGCAAAAGAGAGGACCGAACAAGAGTTTAAAACATTGGCAAAACAAGCTGGGTTCTCTTCTTTGAAAGTCGTTTGTCGTGTTTATAATCATTGGGTCATGGAGATTTACAAAGCTGATTGATGTCAACGGTTCAAATTAATCTCCATTGTTATCAGCCGAGTCAATATTGTTTGTTTTAAAGGTAATTATTTGATATACTGATAGATTTTTTTACAAATAATTTTAATTTACCGTCATGTATCTTCCTTTATTAATTTAAATATTAGTTAAGGATACACGTGACGGTAAATAAGAATTAATTGTAAAAAAATATTGTTGTCAATTTATCAAATAATAATCCTTGTTTCAATAATAAAATGTTATAATTATAATCTTGGCTTATGTTATTCTATTGCTTGAGAGTTCACCGGTGAAATAATGTTCCGACGAGGGTTTTATTCAAAACTGGAATCATAAGTTGATGATTTGGTGTGAGAGCGAGTGCATGGATGTATGAGTTTGTATAAAAAATAATAGTATTATATATTAACGCGTGACAAAATTTATTTGGAAGTAAATTAATTTAAATTTAAAATATAATTAGATAAATACGAGAAAAGTATCAAAACATGGCTAGAAAAAAAAAAGAGAAACATCTATGCATAAATGTATCAAAATCCATAACATACTAATTATTAACGTATTAAAAGTTATATAAATCGTCGATTCAATCTTAATTCATTGATATTATTATTTTTGTATCATATATGAAGTCGTAGATTGAAGAACTATATATTATCCTCTTATTTATAAGTGGAAAAAGTTTGAATAATTTAACATTGTATAAAAAGTCATATATATTTATCGTTTATTGAACACTTAATATTTCAGATAAATGTGCTTTATTTATCAACAACAACAACAAAACCCTATTCCCATATGTAATGGGGTAAGAGGGAGCTAGGTTAGTAGGCTGCCCCAACTCCGGTTGAGTGCAGCTTCCGTGGAAGACCTCCGGCAGTCAGAAAATAAAAAATAAAGCACGCCAACAATCAATAGCAGAGTTTGGTGTCATGTCCCACAGAGTCCTACCACATGTCCATCGAAGCATTCTCATTTCTGCGGCCTCCATCCTCCTAGGAACAAATCAAACTACAAACAACCAACAATCCCTGCCAACCAGTCAAACAAAAGCAAACAAATCCCTGATTTAGCTCATTACAAAGAAATCCGTTAACAGATTTCTCTCTATCTATGGGCATCCCTATCAATTTATACCTAACTGCCTCCTTAATATATCGAATAATATCATCAACCTGTACACAAGTAGGGATGGCAAACGGGCGGGTCGGGTGCGGATACCCCCTCTCCCATCCCCATACCTACCTAATATTTTTCAAACCACCACCTGCCCACCACCCATGATGGGTACAAATTTTCAAATCCACACCCGCCCACGCGGGTACATTTTCAAATCCATCCCCACAGTCACTGCCCACTAGCCAACTACCCATCTAGACCCGCCTGACAGCAAACTAATGGGATGTTGGAGTTGGTTCCCAGACAGTTCGTGATGTGGTAGCAATGCATGCTTCAATTTGTCAGAGGAGTGGCTCTACGAATGTTATGGAGACAGATTGTAGGGAGCATGTAGTCGTAGAGCTGGATTGTTGAGTTGCTTTCGATGTTAATGCTCATAGTGCATCTAATATGAGTTTTGAGGGGCTAAAGAACATGGAAACTGCTGCTTTTGATGTTAATGCATATAGTACGGCTAATTTGTGTTTGGATGGACAACATAGGCTAAAGAACATGGAAATTGACGTTGTTAGTGGGATTATGAGTTTAATCAAAGAGCCGAATATTTCCCTAATTAAAGACCAGATTAAAGACTAAATATCCTTAATATTTGGTTAAATTATATGTTATATATTATACAATATTAAAATTTATAAATTAGTCTCTAAAATTACACCTAAATTCATAATGGTCCAAAATTTAATAGATATTTAGCTGGACGGGAGGATACGGGGCGGATGCGGGGCGGGTAATGTCTCAAACCCATTACCTGCCCACCACCCACGACGGGTACCACTTTATAAATCCACACCCGCCCACTACCCGCTAAAATTATACCCATTCTCGCTCCAATTGGAGCGGATGCGGTGCGGAATCCACGAAACTGTACCAGTTTGCCATCCCTATACACAAGTATACTGAAATTTCTTCCCCCACATAATAGATAAAAGAGTTCCAAACAATTTCCATAATGATAGTAAGCAAAGACATACCCTTCAGGTGTAAAATAGTCCACCTGAGTTAACAAACTCTCTGCAAATGACAAATTTAAAGCACGCCAATCCACACAACTTTTGAGAAAGGGAAGCCATAGAAGATATGGTCCCTTGACTCCAAACCACTCTCACAAAGAACATAATCAGCATCCACAATCAGTCTAAACGAGATCAATCAAGGCTATTTAAAAATGACCATCCAAGAAATGACTGAATGCCTTGAAATATGGAATCTATGCCAGTTCACCTTATTCTTCTTATGCCTCACAACTTCCAAGACTCCGAAAAACAAATGATTAAAAACGAAATTTATAAAATTACAATAAAAATATATAATCATAAACGTAAACTAAACATATTATTATGATATTTGCAAATAAATATTGACACAAAAAACTAGTCACTTGAGATCATACAATGACCAAACAAGAAAAAGATAAAAATTCATCCAAAAAAACTTGAATAAAAGATAAATACAAACAAATCTGACTATTTCGACAAATAAACAACAACAGATGATCAAACTACTGAAAGACTACTGATAGTGATGACGTTATTTTTTCATATTACATGTTTAGTACCTAAACTATCGTTATATTTTAGTACATGAATTTTATTTTATTTAAAAAAATCATATCTTACGTTTAGTTTAGATTTTAATTTGGTATCTCGCTGTTAAAAACTTAACGGCGAAGACGATGTGGAATTATTTTACCTTTTTAGATATTTCACACGTCTTGTAATGTAATTTCCACATCATTAGTGTTGTTAAATATTTAACGGTATGCATCAAATTAAAACCTAAACTAATCGTTAAGTACAATTTTAAAAAAAGTTTAAGTACTAAAACAAAATTAAAAAAATAGTTAATGTACTAAAAGAGCTGAATTTTTCGAATAGTCCACTGGGAAAAATAATGGCTCAGATAATGTAATGCAGAGATTATTTCTTCAAATGTGGAGTCGTATTGCCCTCCCCGCGTCCCAGCCGAACCCCTCCAAGTCGCATGGTCTTCCATGCGATTTTGGCCGGAAAAATCCCTCGGAGTCGCTTTGGCTTCCACCATTTTTCACCCCCAAAATTCCCTCGAAGACGCATGAGAAGCCATGCGTTTCTCACTTGCATGCATGACCCTCGTCCCCGGTGAATTCAACGCCCATCACGCTGGCCCTGCAATATGACAGTTTGCCTCCTGCATGAGGGCATCAATAATGCTGCAATAATTGCAGCAATAATAGCCCAGTTGGCTAACCATTATGGGGTTAGTTGGAGTCAGGGTTGGATTTTGAATATATATGGGTGCAGGGAGGGAGGGTTACATCGAAAGTGAAAGAAAAAAGAGGAGAAGAAAAAAGAAAAAAAGAGGAAGAAAGAAGAAAAAAAGAGGAAGAAAGAAGAATAAGAGAAGAAAGTTAAAGTCGATAATAAATAATATAGATGATAAATTTTAATTTGTTCGATTTATTAAATTTATTATTTAATTAATTAATATTTTTAGTTCTAATGAAATTTAGTTTAAAAATAAATAAATTATATTGAATTTAACTTAAAAATAAATTAGATTAGGGTTAAAGGAGAAGATTTAAAGAAGGTAATTTTTTGTTGTTATTGTTGTTTTTTTTACAATTTTTTACTTGTTTAAATTAAATTAGTTACTTAGTGTAGATTATTTTTAGATTAAATTATTTTCCTTAAATTAATGTTTATATTAAATGTAATCTTTAAATTGAATTCATTATAATATTGCCATTATTCAACTTTTAATCTAGTAAATCAATTCGTTCAAATTAGATGCATGGATATGTGTTTCTTATTTGTGTTGAATACTTAGTTGTAGTTAGTAGTATTTGTTTCTTTATGCAACATTTCCCTTCATGCAGCAACAACTTTATGTGTTATTAAATTATTAAATTTTCTATAGATTCGTTCAAATGGCAGAACAAAATCAATTACTTCATCTTGACACTCAACATATTTCTAGTAATTTGGGATCGATGATGTTATTATTATTTGAGAAAAAATAATTTTTATTAAATGGTAGAATAATTTTTATTAAATGGTAGAAGTTTATTTTATGATTAATTGATTAATTTCATGAATATTGTAATTGTAGGAAGACGAGCAGAGAGTCCTCTGTCATCAGCTCAATACTCCAACTAACCCACACCCTTTGATCGAAGATCACCTGCAAGAGGCTAGATTTTGTTAACTTACATTTGTTCGAGAGCATAAATTGGTCTTGGGTTTGATTTGCGCGTTGATTGAACGTTGGAGGCCAGAAACATATACATTCCATTTTCCATGCGGAGAATGCACGATAACACTAGAAGATGTGGCCTTCCAACTCGGGGTCCCAACAAATGGGATGCCGGTGGTGATGAGAAATGATTACAATAATGTGGAAGACCTTTGCAGTGAGTTTCTTGAGCAGAACACAGTAAGCCTAGAGTTAAAAGAGTGGCGTTTGAGGCTATCGTGGTTGGAGAATCAATTTAAGCTCTATGAAAATAATGCCCAATAAGAAATTGTATATGCAACTCGAGAATATATATTGCAGTTGATTGGGTGAGTTTTGATGCCGGATAAATCCAGTAATCTAGTTCACACGCAGTATCTTCCGTTTTTTAGAAATTTTCAGAATACTTGTCAGTATAGTTGGGGATCTGCAATATTGACTTTCTTATACCGTGAGATGTGCAAGGCGTCACTAGTCGTCAATAATATTAATACAATAGAAATCGGTGGATGTTTGATGTTCCTACAATCATGGGCTTGGCACAGACTTCCATTTTTAACACCGATTAGTCGAACAACGATTGACTTTCCTCTTGTCATAAGGTAATATTTTTTCTCTCTATTTTAATTTAAAACCTTAATTAGAATTTATTTATTGTGATTAAAAATAAGTAACGAATATTTTTTATTGATATACGGATGGAGACATAAAATAGAAAGGACGAGGCTAGTGCATAATAATATTAAAGAGTTTCGGTTGAAGATCGACATTTATAGAAAAAAAATGTATATATTATAATATAATAATAATAATTAATTTTATTTAAATTCATTTATTTAAATTTATTTATTTAAATTATAATTTTATAATTTCGCGCCTAATTATTTTTTATAAATTTTAATTTTACAGTTTAATTGGAGTCTATACATAGAGGAAAAAACTATTGTGTATGTTCCGGAAGACGT